GTGCTGTAGCTCTTTGCTACCCCTCTTCTCCCCATGTTCAGTTATCGCTGTGGAATAAGTTGGATCGGCTCACACGTACAGCCTAGAACAGGCATGCGTGGCTGGACTGAGAGGGAAGGCAGGTCAATCTCTTTTGGCAGCACTCTGCAGTTAGGTCTGCCTCAGCTAAACAAAACTAATGTTATCTACTTCATCATCTCTATGCTCTATATCCTTGAGGACACAGATGTCTCCTCATTCATAATAGATGGCTTATTCAAAATGTGATTTTACCAAACAATGCTTAACTAAGCTATGCATACAGGCTAATATTCACACAGATAGATGAAAAGTTGTTTTCCTTTTTTTTTTTAAGCCTTGATTTATACTAGAGATCATACACAATGTGTTTAAGTCTGGTGCTTTTTAAATAGGTTCCAAGTATGAGATTTGTGAGAGAAGCAAAAGACTAATCCATACATAGAAGTTTAACAGTGTGTTTAAGATCCTTTTCTTCCGTGGCCACCTTTGATTGCTAACTTAATTCCACCCGCCCTAGCATAATTGTCAATCATACTGGGCAACAGCACTATCCAAATTACATTAAAAGAGAATTCTGCATTTAAATTTAGAAGGTTTTGCTTTACATCTTCATTTTGTTATTAACATTTTCTTTTTCAAAAGTGTTACAATTTGAGCCTGATTTGCTGTTTTATTAAATTCTGCTACTTGCAATGGGGTCTTTTGGAGACTGTTAGCAGCTAGTAAATTGGCTTTTTCTCCTTGTGACCAGTTTACAAGGGAATTTGCAGTGCTAAAATGACCAGCCTTGCATGCGCAGTGCAGTGGAGTATCCTTGCTGCTGTCTAAGGCATTAATGGCTGCGCCGTGGCTCAGTAACAGATTTATCAAGTCACTATGTCCATACTCCGCTGCAATATGCAGTGCGGTCTTTCTCCAAATGTTTCTATCATTGATATTTTTATTTTTCCCTGATGTCAGAAGAATTTTTATGATCTCTGTGTTTCCTTTGGTGGCTGCATAGTGCATCGGAGTGCATCCATCCATGTCCTTAACTCCAAATCTTCCTTTTTTAGCTAACAGAACTTTCACGATGCCGAGATGTCCTCTCGCTGCTGCAGTGTGCAGGGGAGTCTTTTTCTCTTTGTCTTGTGTGTTGGGGTCAGCTTTAGCATTCAGAAGCATCTCTACCATTGTTTTGTCTCCCCTTTCAGCAGCAAAATGTAAAGGGGATTTTGACTGCTTATCCTTAACATTAACATGGGCTTTGTGGTGCAACAGCTGTTGGGCAACATCAGTGTTACCTCTTTGACTTGCGATGTGCAGGGGAGTAACAAACTCTTTAGTGACAGCATTAATTTGGGCCCCAGCATTAACTAAAAGGCCAACTAACGCTCCTTTATTATGAAGTGCAGCAACGTGGAGCGGGGTTTCATCGGCTTGGTTCGTAAGGTTAATTCCCATCCCTTTGCGCAGAAGCAGATTTGCGATGGAAGCAGCCCCAGCTTGAACTGCCAAATGCAAAGCTGTGTCTGAAGCAGGAGTCTTTATTCTGAAGTTTGCTCCCTTTTCGATTAGAACTTCTGCTGATTCAGCTTTGCCTGTTTCACACGCCAGGAGTAAAGGAGTGTATTGCATTTCATTGTAGGCGTTTATATCTGCACCTCTGTCGATTAAAGCTGCTACAATATCAGGCAGATTTTTCTGTACAGCTCTAAAAAGAGCTGACTCCATTACATCAGATGACAAATCTTTAGAATATTCTAGTAGTATTTTGAAGATTGATGGGTGACTGCTATTGAAGGCTCTTTCAGCCATGTCAGAATCAACACTGGCTCCAGCTTCTAGCAGTACTTTTGCAGTATTTTCAGACCCCTGAGAAACAGCACAACCGAGAGCAGTCTGTCCTCTTTCATCCATTCCGTCAGCAGAGGCACCAGCCTTTAAAAGCATTTTTGCCAGACTGCTCTCATCTTTCAGAGCTGCCATGTGCAAGAAGCTGTGCTGTTTCCTGTAGCTTCTTGCCTCTTCCTTCACGAACATCTTCAATATATGGCTGTGGCTATTCTGTGCAGCCAAATGAAGTGGTGTCTTGCCTTGCGTATCCAAACTGTACATATAAGCACCGCATCGGAGAAGCACTTTCACTGCATCACCATGGCCTTTCTGAGCAGCCCTGTGCAGCGGTGTTCTTCCTTTCTTGTCCTTCACATCTGTCTTTGCACCTTTGCTGATCAAATATTCCAGTATCGTTACATGTCCATTAGCAGCTGCAACGTGCAGAAGTGTTTCACTTGAAGAGTTTAGTGCTTTAATATCATTATCTTTCAATATTTTCTCTAACTCAGAAAGATAGCCTTTAGCGACTGCATCAAAGATGCCAACATCAGCATGATCTTTTCTAGGTTTTGCTGCCCTTGAAAGTTGAGTTTCTTTTCCTTTCTTCTTAATAGCCCATTCTTGCTTTTTTCTTCTAGGACTGTCTTTTTTTTCCTGGTGCTGTTCACTGCTATTTTCAAACCAAACCTTGTCTTTTTCAAGTAAATATCCTACCAATTGTCTTCTAGCATCTCCAATGTTTTCATTTACTTCACTGACATATTTTCTTATCTTGCTATAAAGTTTTGGCTCCACTTGCTTTAAACATGGATAAAAAAAGAGCCTGCAGGCTCGTTCACCTTGAGAAATTAGTATGTCTAAAACTCGAGAGTTCTTTTCTCTTCGTGTCCTGTAGAAACTCATGACCATCTTTTTTTCTGGGGTAAAAATGCCGTTGTCTATCAGCCAGTTCAGAAGATGGTCTGGGTCATTTATGCCTTCTACTAGCTCTTCTTTTTTAGTCCTCAAGACTTCAATTGCGTATGGATTTGTAAACAGATTAGTTGAACGTGTGATCATGTTGCTAATCAAAAAGTGAATTGAGCTATTGTTTGATGTTTGAAGTTAAATATGAAATAGCAAAGCAGGCTGACATCATTTCACACATTCTTTTCGCAGAACTATGAAGCAACAACCGTTCTAGTTCAGTCATAAATCTTTAAAGAATGAGAAAGAAATCAAAACTCCCTCACCTTTGGTTTTCTAGCTGTTAGAAGTCCTTTGATCTTCTCTGTTCTTCCTTAGCAACAAGTGAAGTTCAATAACAAAACAAAAACCTGTGATAGGCAAAGATATTCCACTTGGAAGACTTCTTCCAAATTTTTTTGCACATTTTTAGGGAAAAAAAAAAGCCTTTGTGAATCTGATATTTGAATAGAAGATATTTGTTTATCAAGTTCCTCTGTTCCTCTGGCCAAGCTGTTTTTTGTAGGCGCCTAAATGACCAGTCTATTAAACATGACAAAAGAAAATGCACAGCATAGTTACTGTTGCCATGATTACATACCTTGTATGATCTTAAATGAAAAAGTACACATTGCCAGCTACGTAGGTGAAAGCCCTATAATGTAATGAAATAAAACCAGAAAGACCTAGATAAAAATAAACTGTATAAGCGGCTAGTTATAAAAAGTGATCCAGCCTTTCTAACATGAGTTACAACTTCCGTCTATGAGGTATATTTAACTTAAAGGCTATTTAGCTTGTCATT